TTCTTGGGCGGGATATCTGGGTGAGGGAATATCGGATCCCGCATGCCAGAAAAATCCCCCATGATGGGGTGTGTTATCCAGATGGATGCATGTGTCATGTGGAAGCATGGCGCATGAGGGTAAAATGATTGTTGTTGTTGTTGTTGTTGTTGTTGTTGTTGAACATTATTAATTCTAAAGAATAATTATTGTTGGGACCCCTGGTGCACGGCCCCCCTGCGCCGCCTAGGCCGCAGCTACATTTTCATCATTTTCGTGAGGAAGCCTCAGGTAATTCGATGTGATCAAGATCCGGTTGTTTTGTTCCCCCCCGCTTTCCCTTGCAAAAAACACTATAAAATGACATTTCTTGTTCTAATATAATCAAATTTCAAGAATCCCTTGCAAAAAATAAGGTAAAGTGGACATTCGCGCGCGCAAGACGAAATCCTTCCAAAAGCTTAGTGTTCGGAGCGATTTTAACATAAAAACATCAAAAAACCAATGGTTTTTCAACAAAAAAATGTCAAAATCTCATCCCGCGCGCTCTTGCGGATTCGTAGGAAACCCAACACTTTTTAAACATTTCTGTCAAACGGGCTTTTGCGAGCAACTTTTTCGAACTTCTGCGACAACGGTTGCGCACCTGCCAGGGCCATCATCCCTGTCAAATAATACCATGCGGGACACATTCGTTTTTTCTTCGCGCGCGCACGCCGAAATCTCCAAAAACCATTGGGCTTCTTAAGAATTTTAGCACCGCGCATCATAAAATCACACGAATCGCACCGTAGGTCCTCGAAAAACACCTGCACGACTTTTCAAAATTTCTACCCGCGCGCGCTGTCCTAACAACTTCTGTGGGTGTGTACTCCACGCCAGTGTAGTAGCCACGGTCGTCCGCAGGCCACGAAGTGAAGTGTCCGAACGTCATAGGGCGGGAAGCTGGGTGTGGGTGGTGGCGAAGAGTCGTGTGGATATTTGGTAGAGCTTGCACTGCCCCCCCACAAAGTGGGGGTATTGGCTGGCGTCGCATGAAAACCCTGGCACTGGTGAGAACACTGAGCGTTCGGGTAAAGTGATTGTTGTTGTTGTTGTTGTTGTTGACTTCTCATTTCTGAAGAATAATTATTGTTGATCCCCCCCACCGGTGCATGCTGGTTTTTCTCAATCAAAGTGTGCCCCTCGACGCTCGCACCCTGTTTTTTGACAAGGAAAGTCTTGATGCTCAAACTGGGCCCCTGGCCCCCGGGTTACAACAACAACGGCTCCCGCCTGAGACTTCCTTGCAATTTAGCCAGGACCCCCGCTCCCGCCCGAGACTTCCTCGCATTTTATTCAGGAATCGCGCTCTCGCTTGAAACTTCCTTACAATTTATTGAGGAATCGCTCTCCCGGCGCTCTGGAGTCGCGCTCTCGGTGGAGACTTGCTTGCAACTTACTGAAGAATGGCCTTGCGTTGGAATTCCTTGCAATTTGCCAAAGCGACGCGCTCCCGACACCCAGGCACCCAGGAGTCGCGCCCGTTGTGGCCCCATGTGCATGCCCTTCGCGGCCCCGCTGTCGCCATTTGTGTCCCCCTCACTGTCCTACGTGGCCCAGTTGCTACCCTCAGAGGTCCCATAGTTGCCTTCTGTGGCCCCGCATTATCTGCACTTCGTGGCCCCCGCTCGTTCGCGCTCTTCGTGGCCCCATACGCATTCCCTTCGTGTCCCCACTGTCGCCCTTCGTGGCCTACTTCGTGCCCTTCGTGGCCCTGCTGTCGTTCTCTCTCGCTCTCGCTTTCGCTCGTCGTCGCCGTCGTCGTCGTCGTCGCCGTCGTCTTCGACGTCGTCGTCGTCGTCGTCGTCGTCGTCGTCGTCGTCGTCGCCGTCGTCGTCGACGTCGTCGTCGTCGTCGTCGTCGTCGTGGTCGGTCCCCTGTCCGTCCCTCTTGGGGTCGGGTCGACGGTCCGCGGCCGCCCCGCCGATCAGCGCTGCCGCTGGCCAGGCCGACGGTCCGCGGCCGCCGCGCCGCTTGCCGTGGCCCGGCCTGCAGGGAAGAAAGGTATACACCCGAAAAGGGGTTCGATCGAAGAAGAAGAGGGCGGGTATCGAGGGTTTGGGAAATACGCGCTATTGGACACTCGAGCAGATAAGGGCGAACAGTCTTAACATGATTGTTGTTGCTGTTGCTTCTGCTGCTGCTGCTGCTGTTGTTGTTGTTGTTGTTGTTGTTGTTGTTGTTGTTGTTGTTGTTGTTGTTGTTGCTGTTGCTGTTGCTGTTGCTGTTGTTGTTGTGTTCTTGTTCGTTTCCCATTCCCGTTTTCCTTTTGCTTCCATTTCAAGAGGTTCCTTCTGTTTTCACTTTCAAGACATTTTTTCGGAAGCGATGAAATAATGGCCCTGCCATTTCCAGGGCGCACTAAGGTCAGGCAGTGCCGATATCGGGGGCCCGCAGGCCCGCACGCTGCGGACAACTAGCTGCGCGTGTGTTAGAGTCAGGCAGTCGTGGAGCAGGTGCAGTCTCCCGTTCTGCACGAACAGCCGGTGGGCAGCCGCTGCAGACAATTGACAAGGGGGGGCAAAACGGGCTGTCTGGGGGCTGCCCGTTTGCCTCCTCCCAGGGCGCCGCGGCAGGGGCGGCAGAGCTGTTGAAGGGGCCTGGGGCGCGTGAGCTGCCGGCGGTTGCCCCCTCGTCCTCCTCCTCCTTCTCCTCCTCTTCCCCCTCCTCCTCCTCCTCCTCCTCCTCCTCCTCCTCTTCCTCCTCCTCCTCCTCCTCCTCCTCCTCCTCCTCCTCCTCCTCCTCCTCCTCCTCCTCCTCCTCCCCCTCCTCCCCCTCCTCCTTCTCCTCCTCCTCCGCCTCCTCCTCCTCTCCTTCTCGTCCTCCTCCTCCTCCTCCTCCGATTTGTTTCCTGAGGGGGCCTTTTCGCTGGCCCTCACCTGGGCTGGCATCCCCAGGTGAGGCGACGAAAAGGTCCCCTCCGAGGGGCCCCCTCAGGGTTTTTGGGCCCGTCGGATTTTTATTTCCCTCTACGGAAAAACACTCGGGAAATCGCCGTGTCCTCGCGTCCTGGGGCTTCCCTTCGGGCTTGTATTGCGCATCCAAGGGTGATTTCTTTCCCCCTCTCTCTCCCTTCAGTGGAGTGCGATCCTCCATTCCTTCTCCTTACAGATAACCCCTCCCTGTCGCACCCCGAGGCCAGTTTTTAGGGCGGGCCGGGCGTTTCGCCTTAGAAATGACAACAGTTTCACAGATGGGGGGCTGGCCGCTTTCAACATGTGGCTCTCGCCTTAGCGCCGCGCACATTCGTTTTCAATATTTGCAAGGGTTCCACGGATTGAGGGCCGGTGGTTTTCAACATGTGGCTCTCGCCGTAGCGCCGCGCACATTCGTTTTCAAACTTTGCAAGAGTTTCGCGGGTTGAGGGCGAATGGTTTTCAACATGTGGCTCTTCCCTTAGCGCCGCGCACAATAGTTTAACTTTGCAAGATTTTCACGGATTGAGGGCGGGTCGTTTTCAAAATGTGGCTCTCGCATTAGCGCCGCGCACATTCGTTTTCAAAATTCGCAGAAAGTTTCACGGATTGAAGGCGAGTGCTTTTCAAAATGTGGCTCTCGCATTCGTGCCGCGCACATTCGTTTAACAAAATTGCAAGACTTTCACGGATTGAGGGCGGCTCTTTTTCAACATGTGGCTCTCGCCTTAGCGCCGCGCACATTCGTTTTTCACATTTGCAAGAGTTTCACGGATTCCCATGATCAACGCACCAGAAATTTTGTTTTGGAAGGGTTCAGGATAATCCGGGCGCAACACTTATGTTGATTCGCTGTGTTGCAGTACCGCAAATAGCGTTCTGGCACGATTCTGGATCGTCAAGGCGCGGCAGTCCGGTTGATACGAGGCGTTGAAATCCCGAGAACAATGTTTTGGCCACGCTTCAGGATCTTCAAATTGCTGTCTTCCAGCGAGGCAGTTCCCTCAATGGAAATGAACCGTTGTAGGGGCCTGTGACGTGGGAACTTTGAGGGAGGGTTAATTCCAACATCGTTGATGACTCTTGGGTTTCCACTCCTCCTCCTCCTCCTCCTCCTCCTCCTCCTCCTCTTCCTCTTCCTCCTCCTCCTCCTCCTCTTGGGTTTCCACTCCTCGTCCTCCTCCTCTTGGGTTTCCACTCCTCCACTCCTCCTCCTCGTCCTCCTCCTCCTCCTCGTCCTCCTCCTCCTCATCCTCCTCCTCTTGGGTTTCCACTCCTCCTCCTCCTCCTCCTCCTCCTCCTCGTCTAGCTCCCTGCCTGCGTTCGCCCTCGGCGGAAGGCGCTACCCTGAAGAGGTGGCCAGGGTCAGGCAGCGAGCACGTCCGCAATGTCCTGCGGAGCACCGCGCCTTCGACGTGCGCTCCGAGCCCCACAGCAGACCAGAGTCGCAGGCCTACAGATTGACACCAACACCAATTTCGGCGGTTTGCCTCCACCGAGGGAAGAACATCCCGATCTCGGCGATGGTGGTAATCTTCTGGCTTCCAAGGTGGCCGAACTATTACCACCAACACCGAAATCTAGGATCATCTTCCCCCTGTGGAGGCAACCCCATGTGTTGTTGTTGGTGCCAATTTCCAGGCCTCCAACAGCACGCCCTCGGACCACAAACGGGCTTCGTCGGGACTGCGGCGGGCCGTCAGTTGCAACTCGAGTGCCCCGCCCGTGCACGCGAGGGCGGCAGAGATCTCGCAGCCGCAGGGGTGAGATTTGAGGGTTGGTTTGTGCTGTCGTGCAGCTCCACGGGTCAAAGAGTCCCTCCTCCCTCTCTCCTTCCCTCCTTCCCTTCTTCCCTCTTCCACCCTCCCTCTCTCCTGACCCCTCCCTCCCTCCCTCCCTCCCTCCCATCTACCTTCTTCATCCTTCCCTCTTCCCTGCTCCCTCCTCCTCCTTCTCCTCCTCCTCGTCCTCCTCCTCCCTCCTCCTCCCTCCCTCATCGCTCCTCCGTCCTCAGTCTCCTCCCCCTCCCTTTGGCTCCTCGCTCCTCGCCCCTCCCTCCCCGAGGATGCCAGATGCGAGGGCCTCGAGGAGGGCTTCGAGGAGGGCCCCGAGGAGAGCCCCGGCTCGGAGGCCTGGGCGGGCCACAAGGGGGGGCGGGGGCGGGGGAGGGGGGGGGGGACGGGGAGGCGGTGCGCCTTCTGTGAGAGGAAGGGGCCCAGACCCCCGACGTAATGATTTTTTCATTACGTCGACCCCCAGAGGTCCCGACCCTGAGTCGTTTTTTGCATCCTGAGTCGTTTTTGGACGCTCCCGAGGTCCGGTGAGGGCCCCCGGAGGCCGAAAATGAAGGAGAACCTCCCGTCATGATTTTTTCACTACTCGAGGGGGTCTGGGGGGAGGGGTGCGTCGCACCAGCCGGCGGGCGGGGGCAGGGGCGGCGGGGGGGGGCGCAGGGTGGAAGGGGGCGGGGAGGGCCAGAGGGGTGCCCAGATGTGGGGGAGGGCCGGCGGAGAGAGAGGGGGAGGGCGAGAGGGGGCGGGCCCGGGGAGTGGTGGCGAGGGGTGGGAGCGAGACGAGGGGGGAGCACCTTCGGGCAGCTGGGGCGAGCGGCACGCCGGCACGGAGCGCAGGGGCGAGGCCCGAAGCCCACGAGCAGGGACGGGGCGGTAGCCGTCTCATCTCAAGTCCAGAGCCAAGGCGAGTCAGGAGGGGACAAAACACACCGACACAATGAATCGTCGGTCCCCCAGAAAATAGGGGAACATATGGGAGGTGGGGGGGAAGACAAAAACCCAGAAACTATGGGGAAATATGGGGAATTCCTTGATTTGTGTGCATTTCTCTGTGTGTCCTGGGGCCCCTTCAGTGAGGGAGAGGGCCCGGGGCACGGGGGGCCCAGAGAGGAGGCCCCCCCCCTCGCAGCATCCCGCCGCCCTCGCCCGCTGCCGCCGTCGGCGGGCCGCGACCGCGGTTCCGGCTTCCGCCCCCGTGCTCGCCCCTCCTGCGTCCAGTTCGGGTGTTGCTAGAAGTACCCCTGGCCCAAGGTGCCCCCAGCTTTTTGCTCCATTTTGGAGCCCCTGGGGCCCTCTGGGCTTCGTGAGGGGTGCTCTGGAGGCTTTTTTGGGCTACCTTGAGAATCCTGGGGGCACCTTGGCCCAGGGGCACGTCTAGCAACACCCGACCAGTACGCCTCGCAGCGTGACGCCGTCCGCGGTGTGGACAAGGGTTTCGCGAGGGGCAGGGGCGGCCAGGGTGGTCCAAGAGAGTTCCTGGATGGGCCCAAATCGCCCAAGAGGGCGTGTAAGACGGCACAGCGAAGCCTACGTTGGCTCAAGATGGCCTCCAACAGGCCTTGAGAAGCCCCACGCCCCCCACCCCTCCTTCCCCGTGGTTTGGGGAGCACCGTGGGAAGGGTGCTCCCTGGCCTCGGCGAAATGCAGAACCTCCCGCAGAGATTTGTCACAGCGCGCAGGGCGCCAGGAGGTGCCCGCGGATCGTGGGGAGCCTCGTAGGGGCTGGGCCTCCCGACTATTCAGAGGGCGTTTTGTTCTTGTTGTTTGTTTGTTTGTTTGTTTGTTTGTTTGTTTTGTTATGTTTTTTTTCTTCCTGGCGAGAACGGGCGTGACGGGGGGGGGAGGCGGGGAGGAGGCCGGTCACGTCGCGACTCCCGCCGCCGCAGTCTGGCAACGCTTAGAGACGGCTCATTCCCAGACGGCGCCGGCGCGAATCGCGACGCGACCAGGGGGGGGGGAAGGGGGGGGGGCAAGCCTGGTCATGGGCGCTGCCGCGAATAGTAAGAAGCGGGCTCTTACACGGGCCTCAGTGGGCTTCGACTGAACTTCCCCATTCAGGAGTGGCGCTTTCGCCTCGGCGCTGCAAGCCGCCCCTCTACAGCAGCAAAGCTCCCGCTCGATACGTCCCATTTTTTTTTTTTTTTTTTGTTTTTTGTTGTTTTTGTTTTTTGTTTGTTTGTAAAAAAAAACACCGGAGTGGGACCCTCGTCTCAGCATCGCCTTTGGAGGCCTCCCGGGCGGCCCCAGGAGGGTTCGAAAAGTCCCAAGAAGTGTTCCACAGGGCTCCGAAGAGGTGCTCCCCCTAATCCTAAGGGCGCCCCAAGAGGCCTCCCGACGGCCCAAGGGATCCCCAAGACAGCCCAAGAGGGCACCAGCACAACCCAAGGAGCCCCCGGATAGCCTTCAGACGCACACTCAGCCCAGGAATGTGCCAGAAGCTCCCAAGAGAGCTCCTGAAGGCTTAAGAGTGCTACCAATATGCGCAAGGACTGCCCCAGACGGTCCCACCACCTCCCAAGACAGCCCTGAAGCTTCCCAAGGATTCCCACATCTTCATTTCTGCTCGTGTTGCTCTTCTCCCTTTTCTTCGTGTAAGGTGGATTGGTTGTACCTTTCTCCGCACGATCCCTCCTGTGAGCGCATCGGATGGCGTGAGTAGTTCGCGTCATTGTGCCTGCACCGCTCCCCGCATCCAAACTGATTATGCTGATGTGCCGTGCGGCATGAAGGTGCTGAATAGCCTCGGGAGAGGTGTTGACTTGATCTCCTTGGGCGGAAGATGAGTGAGGGAATACACCCAAGTTATTCATTGCCTCAAACAATATTTGGCGAATGCGCCGCGCCAAAATGCTCTGCAAACGAAAGTTTTATCTTTGGCGGAGGCGCTGAGCGTTTTAGACCCGAGGGCGGAAACAAACCATTGGCCTTTTCTGTTGTTGCATTGGCGTGGCCGGAAATTGCCAACCAGCGAAAACGCAGCATTTGGATTGCCCGTGTACCCGCAGCATTTGGATTGCCCGTGTACCGGCATTTTACCCAGCCATCGAAGTTCTTCTTTTGGGTGTAAGGCTGTCCCATTTTCCCCGCTGAGCGAACACATAAATTTGGCATGATTAAGTTTGGCGGGGGGCGGTCGCAGAATTTCCTGCACACGAAATTTTGAACGCCGCCATTCTTAATTCGGCAGGGGCCTTGACCAAAAGTGCCGCAGGAACAAAAACAAGCAGAACTTACAACATTGACTGTATCGGGCCCCCGAAGCATGACATGCTTTCACTATTAAGGGGGGCTACCATGATGCATGCATGTTGCATGCTTAAGCTGCGAATAGTTTGAACAAGCAGTTGTCCTTGCTCTTGCTGTCGTATTCGCTCCGCGATCCGCCCCACGACCCGCCTGCGACGCACCCCGCGACCTACCCGCGATCCACCCGTGACCCACCCACGATACACCCGCGATGCACCCGCGACCCACGCCCGCGACCCACGCCCGCGACCCACGCGCGCGATCTACGCTGCCGACCCACCCACGATGAATTTGAGTAATCGCCGCCTGCCCGGGCTGGTTGTGTTGAAGCGAAGATGCCTGCGCCTGCGGCAGGCTTCTTTACCTTGGCCTCTCCAGTCTCGCCACCCGCCGACGGGCCGACGCGCTGCGCTTCGCGACCCGCCCGGGTCGCTCCGCAGAAAAAGTAGGCGCACGCGCCGGGTGGATCGCGTCGGAGAAGATCGGAGGCCGCGGCGGGATTCTTGTGCCACTGGTGCAGGCCCCCCCCCCCCCTTCACTCTTACCCGCAATTGCGGGGGTAGGTTTCCCGACGCACTCACTTATCGCACGCGCGTGTGAGCACCCACAGCGAAACGGGCGCACATACAGTGCATGTCTTGTGCACTCCGCATGCAAGCCAACCACACGTTCGTATACTTCCGTGTGATGGTATGGGAAGATCTGCGATCGCATCGTTCGCCGACGGTTTTCCAGCGCACTGCGTATACTGTGCGCTGCAAGCCACTTGTGATTTCAAAGTTCACGCCTGAACACCACTTCCGAGCAAATGGGGGCTCACACAGCATGTGCCATGCCCCAGGGTTCGCCGGGGGCTCCTGGGGACTCTTTAAGAGCATCCACAAGCCTCGACAGGGAGGGTGGCGCGTTGGACAGCCCGCTTTCGCTGGCAACATGCCTACGGGTCTCTGAAGAGCGTCCCAGGACTTCCAGCGGCCTCCCCAGCGGGGGGCTCCGGCATGTGGAACTGCCCGCTCGCACCGCCCACGCGAGGTGCTCAGCCCCGGCCCCCTCCACCGCTGAACTACTGCGCGCTTCCAGACCACCCCTGAAGCCATGCCTAACGCGCCCTCGTGCCTCTCCAAGGGGGGGGATGGGGGGGCGGGCAGATTCCTCTTTGGCCCCTGGGCGCTCATCTCCGCCATGGCTGGACGTGACCCGACAAGCTGACCAGACCGTCGTGCGAGCGAGGTCTCAGAGGTCTTGGGACACATTCAAAACCCTAAACCCTGAGCCCTATACCCTAAACCCTAAGAGCTAAGAGCCTATAAATATTCAACTTGTAAAAGCCTTTAAACCGCTCCTTGAAGCGCCCTAATTCCTAAACCTCCACCATCCCTATCAAATAATACCATGCGGTGCACATCCCGCCATGGCGGCTAATTCTTAAATTCGCACGATCTCTGTCAAATAATACCATGCGGTGCACATTCCGCCATGGCGGCTAATTCCTAAACTCACACGATCCCTGTCAAATAATACCATGCGGTGCACATTCCGCCATGGCGGCTAATTCTTAAACTCACACGATCCCTGTCAAATAATACCATGCGGTGCACATTCCGCCATGGCGGCTAATTCCTAAACTCGCACGATTCTTGTCAAATAATACCATGCGGTGCACATCCCGCCATGGCGGCTAATTCCTAAACTCGCACGATTCCTGTCAAATAATACCATGCGGTGCACATCCCGCCATGGCGGCTTATTCCTAAACTCGCACGACCCCCGTCAAATGATTCCATGCGGTGCGCATCCCGCCATGGCGGCTACTTATTAAACTCGCACGGTCCTTGTCAAATGATACCCTGCGGTGCACATCCCGCCATGGCGGCTAATTCCTAAACTCGCGCGATCCTTGTCAAATGATCCCCTGCGGTGCACATCCCGCCATGGCGGCTGCTTCCAGGACTCGCGCGATATCTGATGCATAATACCCTGCCGTGCACAGCCCCCTTGGCGCGGTGCCGTCCTGCTCCAGGATTGTGCCCCGCGCGAGCTAGGCCCTGCGCGGCAGGCGAGCGGGCAGGGAGTGGCAACGCAAGACATTTA